AGAAGCAAAAGGTGAGTTATACTGTTCACACACACATTAAACCACACACACACTCACGTTTTCTCCTCCAGATTCCTGTTGTGTTCTCAGATTTCAGCTTGATGTTAGGAGGTTTTGTTTGCTGTGATCGTCCTGAAGGTAAGCCGATCCGCCTGAAATGAGCGCGGTGCTGCAGTTCTGCTCTGTAATTAATCACCGTGGGCTGAATCTAATATGTGTGTGTGTGTGTGTGTGTGTGTGTGTGTGTGTGTATGTGTGTATGTGTGTGTGTTGCAGCCGCACAGAGGAACAGTGTGGACAGCTGGACCAGCAGCTTCATCACAGCCTCAAACCGCTTCTCATTTCCTGACCAGTCTCCAGTGAACCATCACTGATATTAATCAACCACTCAATGATCACAGTCATCTTATTCAGTGTATTGTTGACGCGTTTCCATGTATTAATCAGAATCTGAATCTCTTTTTGATAAGTTCTTCTCTTGCATCCCTCATTGTCCTCATTACATTTTTGCAATATATTAAACTTGATGTAATCAAGAATTAAAATATTGCACAAGTTCATAACAATTTTTTGTGATACATTTAAAGCCAATCCAGGCTCATTCTGAAAATGTACCCCTATATAGATTTCTGGAGAGTGCCAAATACGTCCCAGGAGCTATGCTTTTTTTACAGGTTTTGTTTTCGCAAATCCACCAGAGGCCGCTGTGTACGCTTTTTCTCTCGCGAGTGTCATTTTTGCCTGCTGCTCTCATGTAAATCCAACAGAGGCTGCTGTTGACTGATTGACTGACCGGTCGACTGACACCACCCTCTTCCTTCCCTACACCCAACCAATAGTGTTTTCAAAAGCACAGATTGACCAGCACCCACCCACTTCCCTAAAACCAACCAACAGTTTTAAAAAACTATTCAGAATCAAAGCTCAATTAAGGCCTCAGGATGACAGAGATCGGCGGAAAATAATAATTTAAGCCGATATATATATATATATATATATATATATATATATATATATATATATATATATATATAGATAGATAGATAGATAGATAGATAGATAGATAGATAGATAGATAGATAGATAGATAGATAGATAGATAGATAGATAGATAGATAGATAGATAAACAAACTCAGAAATTACCAATTTATGCCAAACTTCTTTCTGTCAGCAGGTGGCACTATGACTGTGAATATCTTCTTTAATGTTCAACAAAATTAAGAATCCCATAAAATTTTGAAACCATACACGACAATATCATTTTGAGGTGAACTATCCCTTTAAGAGGAGTAAACAATGACAGAATTTTGTTACACCGCTGCTTTAAGAAAATTTCTAAATTCATCTGAATGAATGACTTGCAATTAAATTAATAGAAAGAAAGAAAGAAAGAAAGAAAGAAAGAAAGAAAGAAAGAAAGAAAGAAAGACAGAAAGAAAGAAAGAAAAAAGTGTGGACAGAACTACTTATCAAACACTCAGTGATATTCTTATGAAATGGAAGCCTGTAACCATTGACTTTTCAAAGAATTAGTTTTTCCTATGAAAGTAAATGGTTACAGGTTTCTAACATTTTTCAAAATATCTTATTCAGTATTTAACGAAATAAAGAATCTCATGAAGGTTTGGAACAATTTGAGTGTACGTAAATTTTGGGGTGAACTATCCCTTTAAAGGCGAGTAAATAATGACAGAATTTTTCTGCACTGCTGCATTAAGAAAGTTTCAAAACTCATCTGAAGGAATGACTGACAAATAAATGAATTAAAAGAAAAGAAAGAAATATGTATGTGGACAGAATTTAAACATTAGAGGTATTCTGTGGAAATGGTTACAGGTTTCTAACACTTTTCTAAATATCTTCTTTAGAGTTCAGCAAATAGAATCCCGTAAAGGTTTGGAACCATGAGTACAGTTTCATTTTTGGGTAAATATCCCTTAAAAGGTGAGTAAATAATGACAGAATTTTGTTGCACTGCTGCTTTAAGAAAGTTTTAAAGTTTATCTAAATGAACAACTGACAATGAACGAAAGAACAGAAAGAAAGAAAGAAAGAAAGTCTAGTGTGGACAGAACTTATCAATCACTTAGTGATATTCTGAGGAAATTAAAAGCTGTAACCATTGACTTCCATAGAAAAAACTATTATAGAAGTAATTGGTTACAAGTTTCTAACATTTTTCAAAAATCTTCTTTAGTATTCAACAAAATAAAGAAGGTTTGGAATATTATATTTATAATATTAATATAATATTTTTTAGTGTATGTAAATAGTGAATCGGTCTACTTTTTAATTTACGGGTGAACTATTCTTTTAATGACAGATATTTGTTGCACTGCTGCTTTAAGAAAGTTTTAAGACTTTTCTGAATGAATGACTGACAATGAAATGACTTAAAAAGAAAAAAAGAAAGAAAGAAAGTGTGGACAGAACTTATCAATCACGATATTCTGAGGAAATTAAAAGCTGTGACTATTGACTTCCATTAAAAAAAACAAATACTATGGAAGTCAATGGTTACATGTTTCTAACATTTTTCAAAATATCCGATTTAATATTTAACAAAATAAAAAAATCTTATAAAGGTTTGGAGGCCTTAGAGTGTATGTAAATAGTGAGTACAATTTTGGGGGGTTAATTATTTCTTTAAAGGTGAGTAAATAATGACAGAATTTTGCTGCACTGCTGCTTAAAGAAAGTTTCAAAACTTATCTGAATGAATGACTGACAATGAAAAGACCTGAATGAATTCGAGTGTGGACAGAACTTATCAATCACTCAGTCTTGACCTCGGTGAAGTGCTGAAATGTCGGATTTGGCAGTGGACGGCAGATTGTCAACAGTTTTCAGATAACAAACACTCGCATGAACCGCTTTTCATCTCGGTCAGGTTTTGGATATTAGACAAACAGTAATGCGCTCGGGTCTTATATTACTCTACAGCGGGCCTGTTTTTGCAGTAAAGGTAGGCCTTTTCTCACAGATATCAGCCACTCGATCGGAGTGCACGTTTAAACCCTCTTACGCCTTAAATTAAAGGATAATATTTCTGCAGGCTTCTCGCGTCCTTCCGTTGGGAAAGTGGACCGGGGGGGGGGAAGCTAAATGCACCGCGGGGGTCAAGCTTCACTGACCGGCTCTGATTTCACCGGACTCCCGTTAGTTCTCGGGGTGACGGGAACATTTGCACACAGAGGCCCGAGAGTCACGCTCGGACAGGCGGCCCGCGAGCGCTTTTGTCCGGAGCTGTTTAGCAGCTTTTGTCCGGCTCTTTGCCTTCCTCCTGCTCCTCATCCTCGCTTTTCATGCGGGTTTATGTGTAAGGCGAGACCGTGTCGTGCACCAAAGGCCCCGCGGAGACACACGCGGAAACTTAACTCTTTCCCCGGGTGAGGGTCAAGGCTTCGAGTCCGCTGGTTAAATCTTCGAAAAATTAAGACATCAGAGCTCATGATAAGAGTTTCTTTCTCTCGCTAAACCGCTGAAATGTGACCCGTTCATGAGGCCATTCACACGATCTGATAAAGTTGAACTCTTTTTAACTCTGAGCGCGCAGCCGCGAACACTAGACTGGCTTTGATGAAATGTATCATAGACCAGGCTATATGAACGTTTGCTGGACGTGCAAGCATAGGCCTATACTGCTCACACGCATTTAATTGATATATTGTTGATATTGCGCTGGTTCAGTGATTAGCAGTATCGCCTCACAGCAAGAAGGTCGCTGGTTCGAGTCCCGGATGGGTCAATTGTAATTTCTGTATGGAGTTTGCGTGTTCTCCCTGTGTTGGCGTGGGTTTTTTCCGGGTGCTCCGGTTTCCCCCACAGTGCAAAGAACATGCGGTACAGATGAAGTGGATGTTTCCTAGTTCTTGGTTGCAGCTGGTAGGGCATCCGCTGTTTAAAACATATGCTGGATGAGTTGGCGGTTCATTCTGCTGTGGCAACCCCTGATGAATAAAGGGACTAAGCCAAAGAAAAATGAATGAATGAATGAATGAATGAATGAATACTGGAATATTATGTATAGCCTACTAGAAGCATTTAGGCATATATATATACATATATATATATATATATATATATATATATATATATATATATATATATATATATATATATATATATATATATATATATATACACACACACACACACACACATATATACACACACACACACATATATATATATATATATATATATAGGCCTAAATATGTTAGAATGAGTATATTACATAATAATTATGCTTGGTTGAGTTTTATGTAGACATTGCCGTGTTATTAACATATTTATGTAATTTTTTTGCTTTTATTATTTCTTTTGTTCTCATTTGTAAGTATATATTAAAGAAAAATATACACTTTATATATATATATATATATATATATATATATATATATATATATATATATATATATGTGTGTGTGTGTGTGTGTGTGTGTGTATTCATTCATTCATTTTCTTGTCGGCTTAGTCTCTTTATTAATCCGGGGTCGCCACAGCGGAATGAACCACCAACGTATCCAGCTTATGTTTTACGCAGCAGATCCAGCTGCATCCCATCACTGGGAAACACCCATACACTCATGTGTGTGTGTGTGTGTGTGTGTGTGTGTGTGTGTGTGTGTGTGTGTGTGTGCATTTAATAAGATATGCTAAATATATTTAAAACATTTTTATACATATATACAAAATTTATAAATATAAATATTTTATAGAGTTATGATTATAACACAATATACATATGCATTATTTAATTACATGAATAAACAGAAAAGGTGTCTTTGCTTAACTTAATCCAACCAAATTTAGCCGTTCTTTAATCTTTAAGCAAACTAAATGTAAGTAATTTAAAAGTAACATAAAATAATAATCATTAGTAAAATAATATGTACATTTTGTTTATTCTTTTTTCTCAGACATTGAAATCGTTGTCTGTACACTTGTTGTCTGTGTTGTTGGAAATTGCTTGAAGTAAACACTCAAAGTAGTCATCTGATTTTCTGACAACCCAGTCTTTATTAGATTTGCTCCCTGTGTACATATTAAATTGACTTTAAATCTATACAAAATATTTTTTTGAAACAGTTTTCAGAACAATCTGTGCTCGTACATTGCTAGTTTATTAGTATTCCTCCACATAGACAAAGACATCAGAGATTCTATAAGAAAATGCACTGTAGAAATATCCATAAATGAACAGCTGTCCGTGTTTTGTGATCCATGTTTTGTTTATTTATTTCTTTTTTGGTGGAGTATTTATGCTTTTGAATTGCTTTGTGTGACTTTGATCTTCGCTTTTCATGTTGACAATTTTGAAAAATTACTTTTATTGACATTTTTAATAGTTGGAAGTGATATTCGAAGTTTGATATTGTTTGTATTTGTGTGGTAAATTACATTACAAAAACCTGGTAATGCACTGCCAGTACATTTCCTGTTATTTTACAGACTTATTCATATATAAATAATTTATTTTACATCGTTTCAAACTACTCAAATGTCAATAAAAGTCACTTTATTAAATGCAGAGATGGATCGAATGTTGACAGAGCAGAGATCAAGGTCCCAAAATGCAAATCAAAACTGTAAATGAATATTAAACACCTGTAAATCTAAAAAATATGACAACTGTTAATTAGCAGATGTTTACACTGTGTACAGCCTTAAATCATGTATTTGGGGTGTTGCAAAAGATCTCACTCTGTCACATTTCAGGCCGGTGTTTGTATCTGAGAGTGGAGAGCGGGAATTATCTGCAGTGTCAAAAGACGAGGACACCATGTGGACAAACCACCACAACCATACCAGGTTTGATGGAACAGAATGTTCATCTTAATCCTTCATTCTTTCCTCAGATGCCTTCAGTTAGTTCTATGCTCTCTAGGTTTAATACATCACTCCAAATGAAATATATTAGGACCCCACATACACACACACACACACAGACAAAAACCTAAGCTTCCAAACTCCAGATCCTCATGCATTTCCATCTAATATGGGTAAAGTTAATATATCAAATGATACAAAAGTACTAGAATTAGGACAAAGTTAAAAAATAAAGATGACGGAATTGTACAGCAAACAGCCGAATAATTTAATCTGCATCCCAGAGCCCTTGGAAAGGAACCTTCACCATATGAGAGAGAAAGAGGGAGAGAGAGAGAAAGACATGTCAATGTGTTTTAATGGGACGTGAAACTCTGGTTATCTTGACTGTCTCAGTTGATTCTTCTTTTGAAAAGTCTCTTCAGGAAAATCTGCAGTGAGAGAGAAAAGTTTTCGATTAGCAAACTCGCTGTTTTGTTTTTCTTTATTTAACAATAGCTCTGTTCCAAACCAAAGTGGATTGCCTGCATAGACAGCATTTTTAAGCACCACATGGATGCTTCATATGCATTTAATTATACATATTATATCATTGTGGACTGTTTTTGCAGTACCACTACATAACTCCAGGTGGCGATAGATGTTAAATAATTTTTCCTTTAAATATTTATAAGCAATTCAAACAAAACGATTTTAAAGATCGGTCTATATTTGTATATGGAGCCTATATTTACATATATATGGGGAAAAAGCAAAGCAATTTAACTGCAAATGATTGCATGGACGTTTCCTTAGATTTGTATAGCCTAATAGCCTATTTAACTATGCTTTGCTAATCAAGACGCTTACTAAGCATTTTACTTTGCTCTTTTCTTTTGTATCTTAGTGTTTAGTATAACTAAATTTCATTGCAATACAATACAAAAAGGGGAACACTTTAGTATAGGAACCGATTTTCACCATTAATTAGTTGCTCATTTCATATTCTGCATGATCTTACTCTACTATTGACGACGAAACCTGCAAAAACAAAAACTAAATATGCAAATAAACAAATAAACGAATAAATATATACACAAATTGCTGCATAAATAGAACAATAAATAAATAAATATGTAAATAAATAAATAGATGCATAAATATATACACAAATTCCTGCATAAATAAAACAATAAATCAATAAATATGCAAATAAATGAATAAATACATACACAAATTTTTGCATAAATAAAACAATAAGTAAATAAATATGCAAATAAAAAAATGAATAAATACACAAATTCTTGCCTATATATATATATATATATATATATATATATATATATATATATATATATATATATATATATATATATATATATATATATATATATGTGTGTGTGTGTGTGTAATAGTATAATATAATAATATATAAATCTACAAATTCCTGCATAAATAAATAAATATATATATATATAAATAACTATTAATCTGTTTATACAATTTAAATATTTATTTATGCAGGAATTTGTGGGATTTTCATTCATTCAATCATTCATTTTCTTTTCAGCTTAGTCCCTTTATTAATATGAGTTTTTCAATTAAATTTTGTTTTAAATACATATTTATTCATTTGCATATTTATTTATTGTTTTATATATGCAGGAATTTGTGGATTAAATAATTAATTAACACATTTATTTGTTGTTTTTGCAGGATTCGTCCTCCATACTCTATATTCCTAATCCTACCCAATATCTAAACTCAACTATACAAACTACCTATTAATAAGCAGCAAAAATAAGAGTTTTATTGAAGCAAAAGTCATAGTTAATGGTTTAATATTAGATAAAATGAAATAAGAAGCTAGTTAGGAATAGAAGTCCCGCCTTTCAGTTAAAAACAGCCAATCATGATTTAAAAGAAGTACCAGCCAATCATATTTTTTAAACGAGGTAACAGCCAATCACATTTTAATAGAAGTATGGCTTTACGTGTCATTGTCGTTTACTCATTAACGTGACAGGGATTAGTTTGGACCTGCACAAATATGGTAACGTTACTGTTTTTGTCTTCATGTGCAGTTTTGAACAATAATATCCAGCTGCAGGCCCGCAGAACCACACACGTTTTAGGCACACACAATCTAGAACACACAATCTAGGCAAACCATATATGGTTACGACGGATGTTAAAGTTATAACGTCTTTTTGGACATCGTCATCGATATGATTTGATATATATGGTTAATAAATATTGTACACAATAAACAATAGTGTTTACTTTACTTTATTTCACAAATATTGCGATTGAGACAGTCGAATGGGGAGCATTGTTTCCGATCACCATTCAATATAATAGAGTGAACAGTTTTTAATCAGTCATTTTAGCTGATCAGTCATTATTATCTGACAATAATATGGCAGATACTCGTTTGCTGGCCTTGCTGAATGATCTCATTTGGACAGGTTTAATTTATATAATGGATTAATTTATGATGAAGGAAATAATAGCAAGTTAATATAGGCAATAATACATTATATGTAATAAAAATCTTTTTACATGTAACAAATGTATAACACTATATTAATATTTTACTCAAGCGATTTAATAGTGTTTATAAACTAATATATTAGCTTAATTTTCTAATAACCTTTTAATTAATGATTTCCCACATTTAAAACTGTAGTAATTTAATACTACAGTAATAGGAAACAAATAGGAACAAATTAACTATTAAAAAAAAAAAAAAAAAAAAATATATATATATATATATATATATACACACACACACACACACACACACACACACACACACACACACACACATACATATATATACATTTATATACATAAACATACATATATATAAACACCTTTAACAGTGAGAGTTTAGTAAAAGATAGTAGTTTATATATAAACTTTTAATTATAATCAGTTAAGATAATCAGTTTATAACTATATATATATATATATATATATATATATATATATATATATATATATATATATATATATTGTTTAAATGGTTAACTATAGTAGGCTAAGTTAGGCTAAGCTAGGTGTTTGCTTTTTATACCAAGTATAATAATATTAAAAGCTTGAATTAGTTTATTACACTTAATCCAACAATTAGACGGTCTATTATGTTTTCTTTGTGTATATGGATACATGAATAAAGTCATAAGTTTCTTTAACCAATTATTTTTATTTACATAATTTAAGTTCAAAAACTGCAGAGATGTTAAAATGATCGTTATGATATAATAATAATAATGACTGAAATGGGAAACCATATTTGTGAAATTCAATAAATGGCGATAATGCTAAGAGTTAGTTACCATATATGGTTTGCCTAGATTGTGTGTCCTAGATTGTGTGTGCCTCAAACGTGTGTGGTTCTGCGGGCCTGCAGCTGGATATATCTCGTTTTGAAGGATGTTGACTCTGTAAACTGTTTTAGTAAAGTTCTTGCACTTTGAGGGGAGTTTTTTTATTTAGCTTTACAACATGTCGATACACTAACGTTATATTGAAAAATATCCATAAAGTGCCTTCATAAATAAAGAGATTTAATCTATTGTATTTATATTTGATATGATAATTTTACATATTTTCATTGATAAACTGTAACATTGCAATAAAAGGGACTTTTTTACTACGAATTAGCTTCGCCTTTCAGTTTTTAGGGTTAACATTAGCGTTTCCAGCAAATGTAATCCAATATTTACATGTATCTTAACATTTATAACCGCATCGTTTTGACATCATAATCCGGTGTAATCTAATTTTATATTTTCTACCCTTATAGATAATAATTTCTGTGACTTGTTGAGGGATTTATCACACTTAAGAGACGAGAAGTAAACTTTATGTGGAGTTGTTAATATTTGATCACGTGATATACCTGTTATAGTGTTCTTGAGTCCTCGTTGCTAGGAAATCGGCATAGAAGTTTTCCTGCCATCATCTGATCCTTAAGAAAGAGGATATTAGCATAAATGCAATTATTATGTTTTTTGCATTCTCAGAGAAGTGTTTTAAACAGAATCTCCTTCACAGCGTCATTACCATGTGTTGTGTCGTCATGATGATCTGGTTCCTGGTGGGGTTTAGAAGCCTCATCTGTAACAAAAACAAAGAAAGATGAGGTAAATGTAAACATTCATTCATTCATTTTCCTGTCGGCTTAGTCCCTTTATTAATCCGGGGTCGCCACAGCGGAATGAACCGCCAACTTATCCAGCAGCGGATGCCCTTCCAGCCACAACCCATCTCTGGGAAACATCCACACACACATTAACACACACACTCATACACTACGGACAATTTAGTCTACACAATTCACCTGTACCGCATGTCTTTGGACTGTGGGGGAAACCGTAGCACCCGGAGGAAACCCACGCGAAGGCAGGGAGAACATGCAAACTCTACACAGAAACGTCAACTGAGCCAAGGCTCGAACCAGCGACCCAGCGACCTTCTTGCTGTGAGGCGACAGCACTACCTACTGCGCCACTGCCTTGCCCAAATTAAAACATTCTTTATAAAAATGTCTATTTTATATACTTATCTATCAGAGACATCAAGCATGTTCACAATGCATGATTTATATAAAGCAGGGGCGTCCAAACTTTTTTATGAATTCTACCAGAAACGTACATTATCTATCCCTGAAACAAAAACAAATACAGCGAATAAAAAGTATTGCATCCCAAAAAGTTCTAAAATGGACTGGATGACGATTTCTGTGAGTTGTTCTGTAAAGAAATATCTCATTCATTTGGTTCTCAGATTGTTTTTCTTTATTAAAAACAGTTTAAACTGTACAAACTCTGTCATTGTCTTATTGAAACTACAGCTTTAATACTTTTGTTTTGCTAAAAACTGTTAATTAGAAACAAAGTACTTTAGGAATAGCAAGTTTACACTGTTATAATTCACATCAGTTGATTAAAAACATGAAATTGAAAATAAATTCTACAAATATATAATACAAATAAATGTACAATTGTGTTTCTGTCAGTCCGGTCACATTTGCATTAAATTTAACTTAAAATGCGTGCAATACACCTTTAAGGCCATGACATGACATGACGGAGAGGAAGCTGACAGTGATCAAGGATGCATTCAATCATTGAATTGTATGATTTTAAGCTTGTTTTGTATGATTATTTGAGGATGACAAGCTTAAGTCAGGCCCTGTCATGTTTTTATACGTGAAAATGTACGTTTCTGGTAGAATATCTCCAAAAACCAAAGTTGATTGAGGCTAGTGGGCCGAAGGTAAATACAGTTGTCAGAGGTTATTTCTGAATTTATTTAATCATTAATTCATTTTCTTTTCAGCTTAGTTCCTTTATTAATCGGGGGTCGCCACAGCGGAATGAACCGCCAACTTATCCAGCACGTTTTTACGCAGTGGATGGCACTCCAGCTGCAACCCATCTCTGGGAAACATCCATACATACTCATTCACTACGAACAATTTTAGCCTACCCAATTCACCTGAACCGCATGTCTTTGGACTGTGGGGGAAACCGGAGCACACTAAGGAAACCCACGCGAACGCAGGGAGAACATGCAAACTCCACACAGAAACACAGAAAAAAAGCAAAAAGACTACCTACTGCACCACTGCATCACCGAATTTAGTTAATAATATTTAAAAATAACTAGAGAACATTACTTTATATCAGCTAATACAGCATATTTATTAACAATTTATAATGAACTTATTACAGTAAAAACTTAATAAATCTCATGTGTAACAGTTTGGGGTTACACTAGTTTTTGCCTTGATTTGCACAGTCCTCTATGTGACGAGTGACATTATATACATTTCAAAAAGTCAGATTCATTACCAAGATTTGATTGAAACATTTCATTTCAACTTTTGAAGCTCAGCATTAAATAAACAAACAAATAAACAAACAAACAAAAAAGGCTGCATTAAATTAGAAATGACAATCTCTTTTAAAGGCATTCGCCCCAACCCTTTCTATTTTTCCCAGATGGGATGGTGGGCCAAATCAAAGGTTACAATGGGCCAACTTTGGGCATCTCTGATATAAAGCGTAAGGCTAGCAACAGGTTTTTAAATTGTTTAATATCAACATCTGACTCGTTTTGGTCTTTTCAGGAACTTGAAGTGAAAATCTTAGGCAAATTTGGATTTTGAGGAGTCGGATTTGCGAGTGATCTACCTGTGCCATGCTCAACCCCAGCTTCATCATCATGAGCATCAATGTCGTCATCATCTAAACAGAAACATCCACATGAATATCAAGTCCAATCAGTGATTTTGACCATCTTACAGGTAAAATTTTCAATAATACGACCATATACATGATTTGAGTAATCATTTAGGTATCCAAGACAAATGTTACATGCCAGAAATGTAATATTTACATTAAAAAAGCACTGGTTATTATGATTTTAGCTTAATGCAACACAATTAAAGTGGTTTAGAGCAATACACACCATCTGAAACATCATGGCTGTCTTCGTCAGTTTTTTCAGCAGTGTGGTCCTCTAGAAGTAACACACAATTGAAGAAACACTTTCAATACTTTGTATGTTTGTTTAGTAAAAGGACATTTTATGTACAGTTGATAGAGACATTTACCACTTGATGGTGTAGCATCTTTGGAGTCGTCGTCATGCTCATCTAGAAGACAAAAAACACTATTATTGTCTAACTTTGGTCATGCTTTATAAATGGGTTTCACAGTTTGCCCACACAAAAATTAAAAATCCATGACTTTTTCCTCACAATTTGGACTTTATATATGTAGATGTGACTATAAATGTCAGTGTGTAACTTTTTATCTCCACCTAAAAATAAATTTTATGTCAAAATACTAAGTAATATAATTAACAGTTGAAGCCAGAATTATTAGCCTGTCTTTAAATTTCTTTTTCTTTTTAAATATTTCCCAAATGATGTTTAACAGAGCAAGGAAATTTTCACAGTATTTCCTATAATATTTTTTCTTCTGGAGAAAGTCTTATTTGTTTTATTTCGGCTAGAATAAAAGCAGTTTTAAATTTTTTAAAAGCCATTTTAAGGACAAAATTATTAGCCCCTTTAGGCTAATTTTTCGATAGTCTACAGCAGTGGTTCTCAAAGTGGGGGTCGGGACCCCCCGAGGGGTTACAGGACAATGAAGGGGGGTCGCCTGGTGATTTCCAAAAATCTATTTTTATTTTTTTAAAACTATAAGAATTACCATATTTTATCCATAACTATACTGAAAAGAAAAAATAGTCATTTTTAGTTACTATATACTACCATATAGTTACGATAGTAGCTTATAGTACTAGTTCTATTGGATTGCGACCCCTGGGGTAATTATATTATATTTAAGACACAGCAATAGCGTCAGATGCAGCAGATTGATTTTATAACACAAGGTTAAACTTTCTGACCTATTTACTGCACTCGCATACATTAAAAAAAAATTAAATGAAGAATAGACGTGGGTCTGTTGGTGTGTGTGCGCCATTGCATGCAAGGTTTCTGTATTAATAACCACCTTAGAAGATATTGGGGGTCACAAGTCACTGGCATTGTTGTTTTGGGGGTCGAAGGCTGAAAAGTTTGGGAACCCCTGGTTTACAAAACAAACCATTGTTATACAATGACTTGCCTAATTACCCTAACCTGCCTAGTTGACCTAGTTTAGCCTTTAAATTTCACTTTAAGCTGTATAGAAGTGTCTTGAAGAATATCTAGTCAAATATTATTTACTGGCATCATGGCAAAGATAAAATAAATCAGTTATTAGAGATGAATTATTAAAACTATTATGTTTATAAATGTGTTGATAAAATCTGCTCTCCATTAAACAGAAACTGATGAAAAAAATAAACAAGGGGGCTTATAATTCTGACTTCAACTGTATATAGTGGGATTTGTTGCTTGATGTATTGTGGATCAGCTCTAGTTGTCACTTAATATAATTTGTTATATGTACATAAATAAATCAGTAAATGTGTTTTTTTTCTTCTTACCGTCAGAGTCATTTGCCTCTACCGATGCACTGTCAGACGAATCTGTAGGTTTAGACATTCATAATATATTAGACTTGATAACTGTAATAGTGATAAACCTAAGATATTATATTACACCTAATATCTTACAGTCATGACTTTATCCCACAAAATTACTTAAAAATGGGATATTATGTGAATTAAAAAGGGATTTTATGTGAATTTTATACGATTTTAAGCTAAATCACTGTACATTTTTAATAAGGTTTCCCTATATATTTATTGAAATGGAACTTTTATTGATAAATTCATTCGAAATTTAAAAATTTAGTTCTTACTTCATATTACACAGTCATGACTTTCTCACAATCATAATTTGACATCTTCAGTTTAAACTTAAAAACTCATAATTCTGACGTTATACTGCCACTTCAACCTTTAATGTGTGATTTTTATGGTTTTCTTTGTGATTGTATATCCGAAATGATGCCTTTATATATCTTTAATTATATTTTCGGATATCATTATTTGATTATATCTCTTATATGTGACTTTGTATGTATAATTATGACTTTGCATGTCATTTTGTGACTTTATTTTCATTTGTTTCTTACAGTGCGACTTTATATTTGTCCATATGACATATGTCTTCCATATGGCTACACAACCTAATTAAAACATCTATTCTTGTCTAAAGACAATTTGGAAAAACATTTTTTTTTTATCCACTTCAATTATCAAAATCAAATCAAATTTATTTATAAAGCACACTATAAACAACAGTAGTTCACCACTGTGCTGTACAAAAAGTCTGCTAAAAATAAAATAAAAAAATAATAAAAAATAAATATAAATGACCTCAATGCACTTAAAAAAGACCAAGAGGGTAGAAAACCACTGATTAATAAAAACAATGTGTATACTTTATGGACAATTATGACTTTGAATCTTCATTTATCATTTAGCTGTAAACTCAAGTTATGATTTTATGTCTTAAGTTGAGTCATTATGTCTCATAAAGTCACTATAAAACTTGTTTTATGACTTTAAACCTCTTAGTTATAACTATAAACCACACAAATCCCATTTCCTACGGTAAAATTGTATTTAAAGATGATTATTTTACTCTGAGCTGTAAATAATCTTTCAATTATATCCAGAAATTATGATTTTATTTGTTAAGTTGTGTCATTATATTTCAAAATGTTACTATAATGCTTATTTTATGACTTTAAACCTCTCACTTATAACTTTAAATCACACAATACCTATTTAAACTTGTATTTAAACACAATTATTTTATTCAGAGCAAAAAAAATGGCCTTTCAAATATTTTCAAAAAGACCTTAGAAAATACATAAGTTATGATTTTATTTGTTAAGTTGTGTCATTATATTTCAAAATGTTACTATAATGCTTATTTTATGACTTTAAACCTCTCACTTTTAACTTTAAATCACACAATTCCTATTTAAACTTGTATTTAAACACGATTATTTTATTCTGAGCAAAAAATGGCCTTTCAAATATTTTCAAAAAGACCTTAGAAAATAGATAAGTTATGATTTTATTTGTTAAGTTGTGTCATTATATTTCTCTGAGCTGAAAATGGCCTTCCAAATTTATCTATAAATACCTCAAAAATACATAAGTTACACTGTTAACTGTTTCCTGTAGAATCTACAGTGGCAGCGGTTCGTGAGTAACATACTTTAAATCAATTACAGCAAAAATTCTGTATATACAGCACCATTTATCTTGCTGTATATGTATTTACAGAATTGAATGTCTATCTTGTAAAAAAATGTAAATATACCGTAATTTTCACAATGGAACTTTAAAATACAGTAACATGCAGCATAACTCTCCAACAGTAAAATTGAGTTTATTTTACAGTTAAATGCTGTGTAACTTACAAAAATGGTAAACAGTGTATGACTGTATGTCTTAAGTTGTGTCAATGTATCTAATAAATTGACTGTAAAGCTAATTTTTTGATTTCAAATCTCTCAACTTGCATTTAAACACAACTATTTTACTCTGAGCTAAAATGGCCTTCCAAATAAGTCCAAAATACTTAAAAATTACATAACTTAAGTAATGATTTTATGTTTTAAGTTCTTTCATTACATTTCAAAAGTTACTATAATGCTTATTTTCTGACTCTTAACCTCTTACTAATAACTTTAAACCACACAATTCCTATTTAAACTTGTATTTAATCATGATTGTTTTACTCTTTTTACACCATTTATCTAGCTGTATATGTATTTACAGAATTGTACATCTATCTTTACTGTAAATATACTGTAATTTTCACAATGGAACTTTAAATTACTGTAACATACCGCATAACTCTCCTACAGTAAAATACAGTTAATTTTACAGTTAAATACTGTGTAGTTTACAAAAATCGTTAACAGTGTATGGTTGTTTTATGACTTTAAACTTCTCACTTAAAACTTTAAACCACACAATAAACCAAAAATAACTCGGATTTAAACACAATTATTTTACTCTGAGCTGAAAATGGGCAGCCAAATATATCCAAAAAGACCTTGGAATGTACATAAGTTATGAATTCATGTCCTAAGTTGTGTCATTATATATTTAAAAAAGTTACTATAATGCTTATTTTATGACTTTAAACCTCTTACTTATAACTTTAAACAGCACAACTCCTATTTAAAACTTGTAATTACAGACAAATCATTTACTCTGAGCTGAAAATGGGCATCTAAATATATCCAAAATACCTGTTTTGTCCTTTTCCACACTGGAGTCCTTGTCGTCATTAGTGTCTGTGTGCATAAAAAGCAATAATCAGTACATTGACTTCACGGTTTTACAAATATTAAACATAACGTTTGTATCGTTCACCTTCTTCAGCAGTTTCTGAGCTCTCCGAGTTGCTTTTGCTGTCGCTGTCCGAACTGTCTTCATCTCTGGACTCTGAGCTCTTATCTTTCTTCTCATCTTTATCTCTGCTGTTCGAATCTGAATCGGAATCTGAGTCTGAGTCCGAATCCGAATCTGAGTCAGAATCAGAATCAGAGTGTGAATCAGAATCAGAATCAGAGTGTGAGTCTGAATGTGAATCAGAGTCGGAGTCTGAATGTGAATCAGAGTCGGAGTCTGAATGTGAATCCCGACTGGAGTTGTCAGAATCAGATTTGTCGTCTTTCTTTTCCTCTTGTTCACTCTCATCGGACTTGCTAGCTTCTTTTGATTCAGACTCGTCTTTGTCGTGTTCGTCTGACTTGGATTTGTCCTCGTCATCTTTCCCCTCATCGCTGTCTTTATGCTCCTCCTTGTCTTTGGTGTGCTTTTCTTTGTGTTCGTGGTCTTCAGAGTCCTTCTGCTCGCTGTGATCTTTATCTTTATCCTCATCGCTGTCTTTAGAGTCAGCTGAATCCGAGGAGTCCTGGTCTTTATCATCATGCTTTTCCTTCTTCTCTGCGCTGTCGGAGTCTTGTGAGTCCGAATCGTGGTCTTTGGATTCGACAGATTCTTTCTGCTCGTCAGCCTCGGAGTTGCTGCCGTCGTCACTTTTGTCAGACTTTTCTTGACTCTTGTCTTCCGAGTCTTTACTGGAGTCTTTCTCGTCGCTCTTTTCATCTTTGTCTTCATGTTTTTCGTCTTTGTCGGAGGCTAAAAAAACAAAATATCATTACTGTATATAGTTGAAGTCAGAATTATTAGCCCCCTTGTATATTTTTCCTCCTAATTTCTGTTTAACGGAGAGCAGATTTTCTCAACACATTTCTAATCATAATAGTTTTAATCACTCATTTCTAATAACTGATTTATTTTATCTTTGCCATGATGACAGAAATTAATATTTGACTACATATTTTTCAAGATACTAGTATTCAGCTTAAAGTGACATTTAAAAGCCTAACTAGGTTAATTAGGGTAAAGTTAGAGTAATTAGGCAAGTCATTGTATAATAGTGGTTTGTTCTGTAGACTATCGAAAACAAATACTGCTTATGGGGGCTAAAAATATTAACCTTAAAATGGTTTTAAAAAAATTAAAAACTACTTTTACTCTAGCCAAAATAAAACAAATAAGACTTTCTCCAGAAGGAAAAATATTATAGGAAATACTGTGAAAAATTCCTGGATCTGTTAAACATCATTTGGGAAAAACTTGAAAAAAAACTTCACATCAGGGCGAATAATTTTGACCAAACATGGGTCACATTTTACAAAAAGGTTTTGTTTATTAATATATTTACTAACATGAACTAATTATGAGCAATACCTGTTTGCATTTATCATAGTTCAACATTTACTAATGCATTATTAACATCAAAATGCTTGTTAACATTAGTTAATGCACCATGAGTTAACATGAGCTCACAATGAGTGAAGTGTAAAAAAAAAGTGTATTTGGATGAACTATTGAAATACTGTAATAAATGTATTATTGAGTGTTTGTTCGTGTTATTAAACTTACATTAACTAAGACAACCTTAAAGTGTTCCCTAAATGTGAAGAAAATGTATTTATCAAATGCATAATTATACATTTAAATCTAAAATGGTTCAAGCTATACAGAGGTTGAGCTGTTACTTTATGCTACCTTGTAAAGGCAGGCGGACACTGTGCAATTTTTGCTGTCCTATGAGCTTGTATACGCTATAGTGTATTATTAGTCAGAATTTTTAGCCCGCCTTTGATTTTATTTACATTTTTTAAAATATTTCCTAAATGATGTTTAACCGAGCTAGGAAATTTTCGCAGTATGTCTGATAATATTTTTTCTTCTGGAGAAAGTCTTATTTGTTTTTTTTTTGGCTAGAGTAAAAGCAATTACATTTTTTTTAAACACCATTTTAAGGTCAAAATAATTAGCCCTTTTAAGCTCTAATTTTTTTTCAATAATCTACTGAACAAACCATTGTTGTGAAGTAACAATGGTTATTGTTTAATGTCACTTTAAGCACTTTAATGTTTTTTTTTTTTTAAATCTGCTCTCCTTTAAACATAAATTGGGGAAAAAAATAAACAGGGAGGCTATAAATTCAGGGGGGCTAATAATTCTGACTTCAACTGTATATTTTTCTCATCAGGAGCAATCGCATGGAAATCTTTGATGCTCATGAATCAAAATGAATGGCATATCCAGACAGAATCTGCTGAAATTCTTTGCTATTTCTGCAAAGAATACTGTAAAGAAATATGTGGATTTATGCGGAATGATTTTTGGGTGTATCGTAACTAAAAACTTAATATGTTAAATAAAAAAAATATAAGTTTTTAACCTACAATGCAAATTTATATATATATATATATATATATATATATATATATATATATATATATATATATATATATATATATATATATATATATATATATATGTATTTGGTAAACAATGCAAGTCTCTCATATAATATATCTACCACATATCTACTAAAAGACAGAAATTATTAGTTGTATTGTTAGTAAATCATATGAATGTTTTCATATTAGTCAGTAATATTACTGAAATCTGTTTAAAAACTGTATAAATATAAATTTACACATTTACATACAACTGAAAAAATAGACTCAATGATGGGCTGAAAATCTGCGGAAATCTGCAGATTTCTGCACGCACAGATTCTGTGTGGGCCTACTTATGAGCTTCTGATCGTAGGTCAAAAATGGTCGGGAGATGTCGGCTTAAATTCCTAAAGTGTGTGTGCTGTTGATAAAAATGAGAAGTTGTTAAGCTGTGTTTAGTCTCACCATCAGAGTCGTGCTTTTCATCTGTCTGTGAAGAATCCTTGTCAGATGTATCATCTTTATCTGCTTCTTCAAAGCAAATACACAAGTGTTAATAGTCAGAAAACTTCAGGCTTCAGTTTAATTCACTAAATGAGAATTACTTTGAAAAATCTTCCTAAACATAACATTTAAAAAAAAAAAATTTCTAAAAACCTATAGTACTTTTTAAAAACTGAAATAAAATATAGAAACTTTTTAAAACGTTTTTATTTTGTTATATTAAAATCTACTAAAAATGACAAAAACACACAACAGATTGACCTGAGATTAAAATGGATGTAAAATAAAAGAATGAATAAATAAATAAATAAATAAATAAATAAATAAATAAATAAATAAATAAATAGTGTAATTTATAATAATTTTGTGAATGAAATGAATTTTAAATAAAAATAAAATAACACAAAAGTGATTTATTCACAACTAATTGAAATAAATAGTTTGAGTTCAAATTCTAAAACCATTCAAATGAAATATAAATACAGGCTTAATAGACATATTTTTAAAAAAGTATAAACACAAATGCATTAAATTATTACAATTAAAACAGAAAATATCAGATTGTTCAATATATTATTTTTAATATTAAATATAAATAATAATTTCAAATTATTTGCATATTTAACCGTTGTTTTTGACACATTTTATGCTTTGATGTTGAAAAATGCCTTGGTTTCTAAATTTAATTTGTTCACCCAAAAGTGAATAATAACCAGGTCATCACTCTGTTTTTTAATAAAAAAAAATAACTGCTGAAAATAAATCAAAACCAATACTGATCAAGTAAAATAAATTAATAAATAAATCAATTAAATTGCATATTATTCTTAAATGATTAAAAATAGATACAGTTTTAAACACATACAATAATAAATTATAGTAAAGGATTAAAATAAAAATAAATAAAATAATACAATTTTCTAAATATAATTTTTTAATATTAACAAATAATGTGAAAACAACACTAATTGAACTATGATCAAAGAAAGGCATGTAAATCCTTTCAAATACCTGCAGTTTGCATATTAACTTTTGTTTGACACATTTTACATGTGGAATATAAGAAAAATTTAACACTTTGATTTTTAAAATATTCTAAATCGAATTTTTTTTACCCAAAAATGATTAATAATCCATTAATCACTCTTTTTTTATAGAACATAACTGCTGAAATTAAATTAAAACGAACACTGACAAACTAAAAAAAAAAAAAAGTAAATGACATATTATTCATTAGTAATTAAAACTATACATAAACTATAAATAAATACAATAACAAATAGTGGTAAAAGATTAAAATAAAATAAATAAAATAGCTTTAATTTGCCGTAGTTGGACTAGAAATGCAGTAATCATCAATACCTGTGGAGGATTTGTTTGCGTCCTCATCAGGTGAATGATCAGAATCAGTCTTTTCTGCACTTGCAGAGTCTCCATCTGAAAGTAAAGCGTGTGCCAAGATAGTGTGAGAAAAGTGTTTCTTTCAGGTACAACATGTTCTGGCACATCTATTGTTGCTGTGGAGGAACATTCATGTCGAACAAACAGTGCTTAACCTGACACAGGCTTGATAAGAAACACATTCAGCCAAACATCAATCTGCTATTCTGCCTGATTGATGATGTTGTTCAGAAGTTTTTGCAGGAACATTGTTCAACTTGATGCATAAGAAACCCTTACCTGGGGCTGAATCTGAGTCTGGTCCTTCTGGCTTGTCAGTGGTGTCTGTGAAGTACGTTTAATAGTCATAATCATAATTTATCATCCGTCGTTATCATTATTTTGTAATGCTTACTTTCTGAAATTTATTTATGTTCACACAGAAATTTAGGTTGTTGCTAGATCGGATATGGTTGCGGCCGGAATGTAACGTTAATTATTTATACACTCTCAGAAATAAAGGTACACGTGCTGTCACTGGGGTGGTACCTTTTCACAAGGCACACATTTGTACTTGAAGGGTCCATATTGGTACCTCAAAAGTATATATTAGTACCTACAAATTTTAAGAGGAACACTTTTGTACTTTTTAGGTGCTAATATGTACCCTTGAGGTATTAATATGGAACTCTTAGGAACAAATTTGTAACTTTTAAAAAGGTACAACCCCAGTGACAGCTTGTGTACCTTTATTTTTGAGAGTGTATTATTTATTAAATTTCCAACTCATTGTATTTTATTAAAGTGTACTTTCACCCCAACCCTAAACCCAACCATCATAGTAAGGTAAAAACAGTAGTTGTACCGAGTATTATTTATGCTATCTAATAAATTACCCAATAAATTGTATTTTTTAACGCCTACCCCCACCCCAACCCTAAACCCAACCATCACAGTACTGTAAAAATATTCATTATTGTTATACAGTGTCATAAAAAATGCTGCTATATTGATGCGCACCTCTGGCCGGCTGCGTATTTGATCTAGACTTTACCAGAAATTTTAGTTCTGCAAATATTTACTTATTTTGTGCCATACTTGTACACTGTAAAAAAAACAACTAATCTTGCCATCATTACAATTTTTTAATTGAATCAAATGAACTTTTTTGTCATCTCAACTTAAATCAGTTAGACTGAATGAAATTATTGAGTTCAACTTTGTGTAACTTAAAAAAATGTAGTTGGAACCTGATTACCATATTAAAATAAGTTCAAGTAAGTTAAAAAAAATTTGTTGTTCCGACTTGTTGTCATATAGTTTTTTACTGTGCAGCATTGAACAAAAAAGAAAGTAAATAAATCAAATTAATAAATTCAATAAAAATGCATTTTCAAGTTATTTCCATTGGTACTTTTGTAGTTAACTATATATTTATTTAATTTGAGTCATTTATCACTTCCTGACAGCTAACTGAAATAATTTTATGTAAGTATTAAAGCTACTAAAATGACATGAAGCTGTGTATAATTACTTTAAAATTATAAATAGTTTAAGAATAAAGAAAACATCTTTACACTATTTTTCTTTTTTGTTTTATGGAAAACAACAGGCGAATAATTCTGACTTCAACCATCTGCATGTGTGTGTGTGTGTGTGTGTGTATAATTTATGGGTGAGCTTTTACGTTAATCTTTAATATTTGCATTATAGCATTGAGATTAGGCCTGTCATGATATATATTTTTAGTTGTACTATATAATGTGCCGATATATATATATATTGCGATAAACAATAATATTGTCATTTTAAGAACATTTTATATTATGCCGCTCATTATATAATGCCAGACTGACAATATAATATCATCACAATGCAAGTAAACTCTTCCAAAGAACACATCATATTTCATTCTTAAGAATATTTGATTTAATTATAGTCATTTTAACAATTTCTTAATCAGTCATTGAAACCAGAATGTGGAAACACAGATCTTAAATAAATAATGATAAACATTAACAAAAAAGTGCAAAGTAAAGAGTAACAGAGGCTGCGATATCAGCTAGCAGATCTATTTTCAGCTGTCAGACACCCACATGAAAATATACTATAGTAATATAGTAAATACTATAGTGTTTTTTTAACCATACTGACACTGACACCTCCGATAGAGATCGACTATCAGCTAAAATGTTGCTCTAATTGGTTTTTATGTATAGGCAATATATATATATATATATATATATATATATTGCCTATATATATATGTATATATACATCACCAGAAATGATTGAGGTCATGTCCATATGGTGTGTGATAAGTCCATATATTGAATATTGTGACAGGCCTAATTGAGTTAAGTGTATTTGTCTTTGTTTGTTTACCTGGTGATTCCTTTGAATCAGTTGAATCTTTTCCAGCGTGATTGCCGTCTGAAATAGGGCACATTTCATTGGATTCATCATCATATAAATTAATCTTCCAGGATTTTACATGTATGTCCGTGTTGTTGTTTTACCTGTGTGGTCCTCGGCTGACGGTTTGTCTTTGTTCTCATCTGCAGCACATAAAGAAGTGCTTTAATGAGTCAGTTTTGCACATGAAAATGCATCTTAATCTTTGTGTTTGATTCACTCACCTGAATCTCCAGTTTTGTGATGCGATGCATCTGTCTCTTGGTCTGAGTCCGTGTCGTCTGTTCCGTCTTATAAACAAATATGCTTTTGTTAGGAAAAGTGATTAGCAGAATGTGATGCTTGTCTTTTATAGATAGGATTCATTTTATATTCAGTTTAATATCATCACATGATCATTACTCAAATGCACGTTTAAGGTAATACGGGGGTGTTTTTGTTTTTGGAATATCAAATGGAGAAAAAAATGTGTTTAAAGTTGAATTTTAAGTAAATTTACTAAAATGTGTGTCAAACTGAGTCAAAGATTTTCTAAATGAATCGGTGAGATGACTTACTTTGTGTGTCTGGTTTGTCAGGAGCCCCATCAGCCTCTTAAAAAAAAAAAAAAAAGAGATTTAAGTGTTCATTTATTTATAGCTGTGTCATGTTTGTAGAATTGAGAAAGCCTGGTTGTTAGTGACACCGGTGGTCGTTCAGTAAACCGCAGCCCAACTCGTGTGTGAGTAATAGAGACAGAATAATTCAATGGGGTATATGCCGAGCTAATGTGTTTCCCATACTGATACACTTCCGGTGACCTGTTATTGTGAATTTTTTTTTCCGTTTTATATGGTTCCTTATACAGCATCGATGTTGTAATGTAATTTAAATACAATCAGTTAAACAAACTTTGGCATTCATTTAGTTGGTCATGACAAAACGAGACAAAAAGCCGTTTGCTCGCACGCGCCAGTCAGAATCGGCAGGCTAGCGCAGAAGCTCCATTGAATATACTGGAGTAAAATAAATGCTCATTTATAAAGACATGACGGGGAAAATGTCATTTAATTCGGTGCTTCTTGTACAATCTGAGACCCACTTTATATCGCATATCACTCAGCCAGTGAAGAAAAAACAGACCCTAAACGCGCCGATTTTGCATTGGCAAACAGTTCACCGAAAATGATTAACCCAGGTTACAGGCAAATTCAAAGTCCTATTAGCATGCTTCGGCATATACCCTATTCAATGCCTGCAAAGATTTTTCTTACTATTTGATTAGATGTGAAAAGACAGTGTAACATTTGCAATAAAAGAACTGACTAGTGCGTGGAAATTCTGAGATATTGTTGCTGAAAAATATAACTATAGAATAAAAAAACTAAAACTTCAAAAACATTCCTTTTTTTATTTCAACTGGTTCACAAGAAAATAGTTTGACTCAATGTACTAAAAATATATATATATATTTTTAAAGACAATAGATTAAATAATAAGGCAAAAGCAACGTAAACAACTTAAATAAACTTAAAAATTTAAATAGGCAGATATTAAAATAAAAACTAATGAAAATTAATGCATTTTTATAATAAAATAATGTAATAATAATTTATATATATATATATATATATATATATATATATATATATATATATATATATATATATATATATATATATATATATATATATATATATATATATACACATACATACATACATACATACATACATATATATGCATAAATGCTGAAACAAATATGTGTGCTCTTTGTGTTCTAGTTTGGATTCTTACCTCCACGTTTCTCTGCTGAATCTTGTCCGTCTGTAGTAACTATTTAAAGAAAGATTTCCAGAGTTACTTTTATTTTTGTGTTTGTCTATTTGTTTGTATATCTGTCTAATATTAGCCTGTCTGGCTAATATTTTTGACCCTAAAAAGGTTTCAAAAAAATGTAAAACTGCTTTTATTCTAGCCGAAATAAAACATATATGACTTTCTCCAGAAGAAAAAATATTATAGGAAATACTGTGAAAAAATTCATACTCTGTTAAACATCATTTGGGAAATATTGGAAACAGAAAAGAGTCAATGTAGGGGGAATAATTCTGACTATAACTGTAAATATATTAAATCAAGCATGTCTCTGTGTGCTCTACTGTGAAAAAATCTGCACAATCATTTGGGAAATATTTGTAAAAGAAAAGAAACCACAAGAGGGCGAATCATTTTATTTACTCTATATATAAATAAATATTGAATCAAGTATGTCCGTGTGTGTGCTCTTTGTGTTCTAGTTTGCTGATTCTTACCTCCATGTTGCTCTGCTTCATCTTTTCCGTCTGTAGTTACTATTTAAAAAAAGATTTTCAGAGTTACTTTCATTTTTACATCTGTCTGTCTGTCTGTCTATATGTCTATCTATCTGTCTATGTCTATCTATCTGTCTTACATATAGATACATATACAGTTGGCATCAAAATTATTGACCCTTCTGCAAATGTATTATTCATTTTATAATATTTCCAAATGATGTTTACCAGAGCAAGGAAGGTTTCACTGTATTTCCTATATTTTTTTTCTTCTGGGAAAAGTCTTACTTTTTTAGTTTGGCTAAAAATAAAAGCAGTTAAAAAAAACTCTTATTATATATATATATATATATATATATATATATATTATTTTTATTATTATTATTCAATATTCAATAATATCGAAGTCAATATTATTATTATATAACAGTTGTAGTCCCTCAATTTCTGTTTTAAGAAAGGAGGAAGGTTTTTTCAGCACATTTCCAATCATAATAGTTTTAATAACTCATTTTTAATGACTGATTTGTTTTATCTTTGGCTTGATGACAGTAAATAATAGTGGACTAGATATTTCTCTAGTAAATACTAGTATTTAGCTTAAAGTGACATTTAAAGGCTTAACTAGGTTAATTAGGCAAGTTAGAGTAATTAGGCAATCATTGTATAACAGTGGTTTGATCTGTAGACTATTGAAAAATGTTATAGTAAATACTGTGAAAAATTCCTGAATTTGTTAAACATCATTTGGGAAATATTTAAAAAAGAAAAGAAATCACAAGAGGGCGAATCATACTTTATATATAAATAAAAATTGAATTAAGTATGTCCGTTTGTGTGCTCTTTGTGTTCTAGTCTCTGATATCGAGTTGATTGGTGATTCTTACCTCCATGTTGCTCTGCTGAATCTTTTCCGTCTGTAGTTCCTGATCAAAAGAAGATTTCCAGAGTTACTTTCATTTTTACATCTGTCTATATGTCTGTTTATCTATCTGTATTACATGCATACATATACAGTTGACATCAAAATTATTATATTGTGGTTTTCTATTTACTTTTGTTAGTGTATGACTGTGTGTATGGATGTCTATATGTACAATTTTATTATTTTTTTCTGTTATTTGTCTTGATTGCAATGCTACTGTGGGATGGCATGGACTTTACCACCGCTGGGGGTGGTGTGGGTGTTTTTTTTTTTTTTTTTTTTGAGGAATGGATCTTGATCTTGTTTTGTTTATTGAATTGAATTAAATTGTAAAGATGCTGTGACCACTTACATGTAAAATCATTAAAATCTTAATCACACACACAAAAAAATATTAACCTATTTGCAAACTATTTATCAATTTTCGAATATTTCCAAAGCAAAGTTTAACAGAGAACGGAAATTTTCAGTGTATATATATATATATATATATATATATATATATATATATATATATATATATATATATATATATATATATATATATATATATATATTTTTTTTTTTATATATATATATAAATATTTCCCAAATGATGTTTAACAGAGCAAGGAAATTTTCACAGTATGTCTGATATTTTTTCTTCTGAAGAAAATCTTATTTGTTTTATTTCGCCTAGAACAAAAGTAGTTGTAAAATTTTTTAAAGCCATTTTAAGGTCAATATTATTAGTCTCTTCAAGCAATATTTTTTCTCGATAGTCTTTAAAAACTAGGTTTTAAAATGTATTTATATTTGTTTATTTATTATATATATATTTATTATTTATAGTGAAAAATTATAATAAAAAAATAAATAAAGGAAATTTGTTTCAGGATAAGAAATGGCCTTTTTTGTTGAAATTAACATTATGTTAACTTAATCATTAATTTTAATAAGGTTTATACAATTTTAGTGTTAAAAAATATCTAGAATTAGCCAAATAAATAAATAAATAAAATAAAATTCATTATAAAGTAAGTGTATGTGTTTTCTTGTATGTGTTTCCAAATAAGAACAATGCAATTTCAAGAATATATATGTATATACAGTTGAAGCTAGAATTATTAGCCCCTTTTGCTTTTTTTTTTTTTGTTGCTTTTTTTAAAGGAAAATTTTCACAGTATGTCTGATTTTTTTTTCTTCTGGATAAAGTCTGATTTGTTTTATTTCAGCTCGAATAAAAGCAGTTTTAAATTTTTTTAAATACCATTTTAAGGTCAAAATTAATAGCCCCTTTAAGCTATATTTGTTTTCGATAGTCTACAGAACAAACCATCGTTATAGAATGACTTGCCTAATTACCTTAACCTGTCTAGTTAACCTAATTAACCCAGTTAAGCCTTTAAATGTCTCTTTAAGCTGTCTAGAAGTGTCTTGAAGAATATCTAGTCAAATATTATTTACTGTCATCATGGCAAAGATAAAATAAGTCAGTTAATAAATCAGTGTTGAGAAAATCTTCTGTCCGTTAAACAGAAATTGGGGGAAAAAATAAACAGGGGACAAAAAATTCAGGTGGGCCTAATAATTCTGACTTTAACTGTTTATATTTGGATTTTCAGTCTTCCAAAATGCTGTCGTCACTTAAATGAGCAGCCGAAAATACATCAAACATTGCCAGCGTGACCACACACTCTTCATATTATTCATAAATGAACAGCCTTTCCTTCCTGAACAATGCGTCTCATGAATTCATGCTGGGATTTGATGGAGTGTGACGACTTTTCACAATCCTGAGCTGTTCAGCTTTATCTGCTGCTGTAACTCCTGTAATCTTTTCCTGTTGACTGAGTGTCTCCTGCTCGGCAATCTAACACTGATTCTCTGAGCTCATTGATGCCGAACACACAGCGGTTAAACATTAATCCGTGTGTAATGTGTTATCACTCTCGTTCATTCATTCATTGGTGTGTTATCATCATTGTGGTGATATCAGTGCTCTGTGTGTGTGTGTGTGTGTGTGTGTGTGTGTGTGCGCTTGTGAAATTCTTCAGCTCGTGTATCAGGTCTTTGTGAATGTTAGACTGAATGAGTGGTGATAGCAGACACTGACCTGGTTTTTCAGTGGTGTCAGACGAGTCACCGGGAGCTAAAAGCACAGAGGGTCACGTGTGTTTATTACTATCGTCTGTTCTCTTCACGTCTGCTCGTTGTGTGTGTTCCAGTTTGGGATTTTGAGTTCATTTGTCATGCTTACCTTCATTTTTCTCTGCGGAGTCTTTGCCGTCTGTAGTTACTATTAAAAGAAGATTTCCAGAGTTACTTCCACTTGTACGTCTGCCCGTCTACCTGTCTATTCATCTGTTCTGTCTGTCTTTCTATCCTCCTGTCTGTCTGTCTTTTTATATATCCGTCTGTTTGTCTTTCTGTTTGTATGTCTGTCTGTCTGTCTATCCATCCAGCCAGCCATCCGTCTGTCCGTCCGTCTGTCTGCTATCTATCTGCCTGTCTATCTGTCTTTCTGTCTGCCTGTTCATCTGTCTCTTTTTCTTTCTGTACATCTCTCTGTCTGTCTATCCATTTGTCTGTCAGTCTACATGCCTGTCTGTCTATCTTGGTGTCTATCTATTCATCTGTCTCTCTTTCTGTCTGTCCATCTGTCTGTATCAATTTGTCTGTCTGTCTATATATCTGTCTGTCTATTCATCTGTCTCTTTTTCCGTCTGTCTGTCAGTCTGTCTGTCTGTCAATCTATGCAGATGTCTGTCTGTCTATCTGTCTGTGTCAATCTATGCATCTGTCTGTCTGTCTGTCTGTCAGTCTATGCATGTCTGTCTGTTTGTCTGTCTGTCTATCTGTCTGTCTCTATCAATTTGTCTGTCTGTCTATATATCTGTCTGTCTATTCATCTGTCTCTTTTTCCGTCTGTCTGTCTGTCTGTGTATTTGTCTGTCTGTCTGGCTGGCTATATGACTATCTGTCAATCTGTTCATCTTTCTGTCTGTCTGTCTGTGTCAATCTATGCATCTGTCTGTCTGTCTGTCTGTCTGTCAGTCTATGCATGTCTATGCATGTCTGTCTGTCTGTCTGTCTTTCTGTCTGTCAATCTATGCATTTGTCTGTCTGTCTGTCTGTGTCAATCTGTGCGTCTGTCTGTTTGTCTGTCTGTCTGTCAGTCTATGCATGTCTGTCTGTCTGTCTTTCTGTCTGTCTGTCTGTCTGTCTATCTGTCTGTCTCTATCAATTTGTCTGTCAGTCTATATATCTGTCTGTCTATTCATCTGTCTCTTTTTCCGTCTGTCTGTCAGTCTGTCTGTGCATGTGTCTGTCTGTCTGTCTGTCTGTCTGTCTGTCTGTCTGTCTATCTGTCTGTCTCTATCAATTTGTCTGTCAGTCTATATATCTGTCTGTCTATTCATCTGTCTCTTTTTCCGTCTGTCTGTCAGTCTGTCTGTCTGTGCATTTGTCCGTCTGTCTGTCTGTCTGGCCGTCTGACTGTCTGGCTATCTGTCTGTATCTCTGTCAATTTGTCTGTCTGTCTTTCTGTCTGTCTGTCCGTCTATCTGTCTGTTTGTCTGTCTGTCTGTCTGTCAATCTATGCATATGTCTGTCTGTCTGTCTGTCTGTCTGTCTGTCTGTCTCTCTGTGCATTTTTCTGTCTGTCTAGCTGTCCATCTGTCTCTCTTCCTGTCTGTCTGCCTGTATATCTGTCTGTCTATCTATCAATTTGTCTGTCTGGCTATATGTCTGTCTGTCAGTCTGTTTATCTGTCCGTCTGTCTGTCTGTCTGTCAATCTATGCATCTGTCTGTCTGTCTCTGCAATTTTCTGGCTGTCTATCTGTCCATCTGTCTCTATTTCTGTCTGTCTGTCTGTCTGCATATCTGTCTGTCTATCTATCAATTTGTCTGTTTGGCTATATGTCTGGCTATATGTCTGTCTGTCAGACTTCCACAATGTGTCAGTCTGTTCATCTGTCTGTCTGTCTGTCAATCTATGCATCTGTCTGTATTTCTTTCTGTCTGTCTGTCAGTCTATTGGTCTGTCTGTCAATCTATGCATCTGTCTGTCTGACCATATGTCTGTCTAAATATCTGTCTTTGTTAATCTGTTTATCTGTTTATCTGTCTGTCTATCTATCTATCTATCTATCTATCTATCTATCTATCTATCTATCTATCTATCTATCTATCTATCTATCTATCTATCTATCTATCTATCTATCTATCTATCTATCTATCTATCTATCTATCTATCTATCTATCTATCTATCTATCTATCTATCTCTTTGTCTGTCTGTTTATCTGTCTAGCTTTCAATGCATCAGTTTTCTTTGTAAATACTTCTAGTTACCATATAAAACCTGCTTAAATATGATATTCCAAATAAACACACACCCAAGCCATTTAACCTTCCTGCAGTTTTAGAATGAATGCTTGAGTGAGATTGGATTTATGTGAGCTGAACCAACCTGAGTCTCCATCTGCAGGCGCTGGAGTACCAACATTAAACTGAACTGAAAAAGAAAGAGAAAAACATGTTTAATTCTTTGTTTGTTTTTCTCTTCAATGGCACTTTGATTCATGGAAAAGAACTGATTTAAAGTCATTGTGACCTACCAGTAAAGATGTGTCGCTGGTCTGCAGCTGATTCTGAGAGGAATAACATAGAAAACACAATCAGTCAGATAACCAGAGCACATTCATTTACTACACACTCAGAAATGAAGGTACTGGAGCTGTCACTGGGGCAGCACCTTCTTAAAAGGTACATATTTGCACCCAAATAGTCCACAGTGGTACCTAAAAGGTGCACATTAGTACCCAAATGTACCTAAAAAGTACCTTTAAGGTACCATTATGGACCCTTCAGGTACAAATATGGACCTTTTAAAAAGTTACTGCCTCAATGACAGCTCAATTACCTTTATTTCTGAGAGTGCAGAGGCTCATTGGGAAAATCTAATAATAATTTTAATATACAATAAGTCTTCCTTTTTAACATGAATTTATGTACATTTTTGATAATTAAAAAAATCTTAATATTGTTTACTTGCAAGGCATTATATTTAATTTTATATTAATATAATATTCAATTTAAAAAGTGTCTTTTCTGACCCCATTTGTTGATATTTATTTAATTTTAAGCTTAAATTAGTTTCATTTTAAGACATTTTTGTTACTTTCCACAAGGTAGTACTTAATATTTTAAGCAGATATCGTAATATTTACAATTAATTAATATAATTATATGGTAAATTGACATAAAATTGCAAATGTATGGCATAAAATATCTTTATTCGCCCCTTAAAATACACCTAATTTAAAAATTTTGAGACTTTTTGTACAAAAATGACTAGAAAATATCAATTTTTTAATCAATAAAGCAGACTCATGTGCGTTTACTAGAGTCAGAAATATCTGAGAAACAGGAGAACGTCTCATGTCTGTCTGAGAAACAGCAGAGATCTTTCCTGGACAATAGCAGTTGCACAATGGCGTTCATTGTTCAGACACACTCGTGCATTCAGAGGCAGCGAGTTTAGCTTAAAAAGTGATCGTTAGCAAGATCGTTCTGAAGGCCGGGAGTGTATAAGAGAAACATTCTTACCGTCGTTATCAGTTCCATCTGTAAAAATCAAAGACAGAGAGCGAATGAGTGAGTGAGTGAACGGGTCTATAAGAGCTCATCTCCTATAGAGGCTCAGCGCAGGTGAACAACACTCGATTGTGTTCAGTCTGAGGCTCTGATTTCACACACACACACACACACACTGCAATGCTTCATGTTACTCTCTATAAGCACAGTTTAGGGGTTCGGTGTGATCTGGAGTGGTGTGTATGGATATATGTGGCTGTAATGAGGATTAGTAAGGACTGTATATGAATATGATGATGTCTGGTTTATATGGGGGAGATTTCTTACTGTTATTGCTCACTGGGGCTGAGATGGAGACACCCACAAACGCCAAGATCAACGGAACAAACACTGTCCTGTATGATGAGAGAATAAAAATGGGTCAATCATGTGATCATTCACAAACATAAATGATAAATCAATCAATAAATAAAAAAGCTGTAGTCGTATACACAGTATAAATGAGTACACACACTTTAAAAATGAATATTTTGAATATACTATTTTTCTGTGATATATAGACATACATTGGTTTAAATGCACCACTATATATATCAGAATTTTAAGTCAGAATTATTACTCTCCCATTCATTTTTTTTATTTATTTTTTAAATATTTCCCAAATTATGTTTAAGAGATCAAGGAATTTTTCACAGTTTGTTTGATAATATTTTTTCTTCTGGAGAAAGTTTTATTTGATTTATTTCGGCTAAGATAAAAGCAGTTTTTAATTTTTTAAACACCATTTTTAGGTCAAAATTATTAGCCCCCTTAAGCTCTATTTGTTTTCAATAGTTTACAGAACAAACCATCATTATACAATAACTTGCCTAATTACCCTAACCTGCCTAGTTAACCTAATTGACCTAGTTAAGGCTTTAAATGTCACTTTAAGCTGTATAGAAGTGTCTTGAAAAATATCTAGTCTAATATTATGTACTGTCATCATGGCAAAGATAAAATAAATCAGTTATTAGAGACGAGGTATTAAAACTATTCTGATTAGAAATGTGTTGAAAAAAACTTCTTTCCTACTATATATATATATATATATATATATAATAAATGGTGTATTTAAACCAATCAGTTTTATTGAACAGTTATATGCATAAAAATAAGTGGGGTCAAGATAAAATTAGGCATTTCAATATAATTACAAACTACAAAATTTAATACTTTATATATAATAAAGTGTAATCTTTTTATAGTCTTTTTTATTTAATATATATTATATTATATTTTATTGAATATTTTTCCTATACATATATAATTTGGGGTGTGCAGAGTTTTGGTACTGGCTAATTTAATGTATATGCACAAATATAATATTGTATAGCATTTCAAAGAAAACATTAATTCGTACATACACACACACACACCAACTTTAAATGAGTATATATTTGTGTCTGTGTGTATAAAACAAGTTAATATTAATATATATGTATATTAAAATGTATTTTTATGTATGTATTTTTTATGGATTTTTTTGTGTATGATGAAAATTGTATAAATGACAAAAATAAAATACAAATTTAGGCATTTTTTTAGAAACGTGTAGCACACATGTGCATTTATATTTATTTATAATATATATTTTATTATATAAAAGCTAATATAAACTAATAACTCAAAATTAAAAACTTACTAGTTAATCCAATAAATTAGTGTATGTATATATATATATATATATAAGGAAAGACATTTTTTAAACACATTTCTAATTATAATAGTTTTAATAACTCATCCATATATATATATATATATATATATATATATATATATATATATATATATATATATATATATATAGTAATATATAATTTATTTATAATTAAACAAAAAACTAAAACAGACAAATTCTATTGAACATTTATTTAATTTTGAAAGTTGAAGTCTATCCTTGATGCATGTGTTTTCCTTCTAAACTGCATTTTCCCACAAAGAAAAATCACATTTGAAAACTTATTTAAAAGCAAAAAACTCACATTTGCCCTTTTTGTCATGTATTTATTAAATAAACCTGCAATACTATATTACTGCCTGCTTGCCAAAGATAGCCTTTGTTCATCACTTGTGCAAAATGCACAATAGTAAAAGCAAACCACTCCTAGATGTTCTAGCACATAAACTAATTCACTTTTCAAACATTACTCTAAATGTCATCTTCATAAGTTGAAAGATCCCAATTCTTGAGTTTTTTATTTTATTTTTGTGGACAACTTGATTTTATGTTCAATCCATGTACATTTGTAAAAACAATGGAGTTGATTTAAGCAATCTGTGCTGGGGCAACATGAACAAATTGTGTGGAGCCCTGTGTACACTGTAAAGAATGCTGGGTTCAATAATCGATTACAACATGAAAGAATTAAGTTAACTTATTAATTTCAACAAATTGAAGTGGATTGAACATAAAACATTTAAGTTGTTCCCTAAAAAAACATTAATAATTGTGTCGTCTTTGGAGATACAGACATGCCCTTCACACAAATACACTTAATTTAATATGTACCAGACATCACCTATACTTTATAACTGCAGGTTAACTGTGTTTATATATAATAACTTCAACTGTTTAATGCTATTAGTTACTAGTTAATTAGTTAAAGTAACAAAGTTATGATAACTAATATCCTTAGCTTCTCCAAATTTGTTTGCAGTGATGTGCAACTTGTGAAGAGCTGTGTCTGAACAATGATTGTTGTGAAAAGTGCTATACAAATAAACTTGAACTGAATCGATCTGAATACCAAAAAATGTATAAATCGGCAAAATATATCAATAAAATTAACAAAATGTCAATAAATAAGTCAGTGCTGATTATTAAACACTATTGTTATGATACGCACACACTATATCTGCAATCCGGAATGTATGGAAGCTCAGAAATGAATGCAGAAATGTAAAGCAGGCCATGTTGTGTTGGGTAGACTCACCGGGACAGCATTGCAGTAGTATTGAGTAGCTGTAGTTGTGATGTAGCGCAGGTAAAGCTGGTCTGAAGCTGGACTGGAGCGTCTGCTGCTCTTTATACCCTCTGAGGGCTGAGCTTTAGGCAGAGGCGGTTTCAATTGTAGGCCGACCGGACACTTGTGTTTCTCTGACCCTGGATCTTCTGTCTGTCTGTCTGGATCTGATGTGATGCGATTATACTCTGATATGAGCTGTATTTCTCAGAACCACACAGAGGAGATGTGGGGGCTGCTCGGGGTTTTGTTTCAGGAGCTTTTTTTGCTTGAACAATAGTTGCTGATTTTATGTTTAGGAATGGTTTGGTTTTCTAGGGTTTTTAGGTTGCCAGCTTGAGGTTCAAGTTACTGTTTTGTATTTTAAAGCACTATCGTGTGTCATAGCCATGACTTGACAGTTTTAAGAAGATTTTATTTATGTACTTGTTTATTTATTTGTTTATTTATTTATATTTGTTTATTGTTTTAATATCTTATTTTATTTATTTATTTATTTATTTATTTGTTTGTTTGTTTAATTTAATTTAATTTAATTTAATTTAATTTAATTTAATTTAATTTAATTTAATTTAATTTAATTTAATTTAATTTAATTTAATTTAATTTAATCATAAAATACACCATTTCATTTGGTTCCTAATTTATTAATCAGTTTGGCATTGCCATCATAATTTGTCCATTATTATTATTATTATTATTATTATTATTATTATTATTATTATTTCATCATTTGTAGCTTGGAAAGGAGGTACACTATTCATTATTAAAATAAAATGCAATTTACAATAATTGAAGTAATTAAGCAGTTTATGAAAAAAAGTTAATCTAAAAGTAAATACACAATTAAAAATGTCATGCATTAGTCATGTGTTTATTAAGCTAAGTTTCATTCTTCCACTTCTTTTTATTATTATATACTGATTTATTAATTGATTTCTTAAATTTCTGAAAGGTAATCTTATTTCAGTTGATATATTAATAAATGTAAAAAAATATTTGTTCATTCGTTTTGTTTTAGTTATATTGTTATATCATATTGTTAGCTCACAGAAATGCTATTTTTTGTTTTGTATTTATTTATTATTTCAGTTTTCATTATTGTTATTATTATTGTACAAGTCTATTATATTTTTATTCTACAGTTTTATTTTATTTTTGTTTAACTGAAATAGAAAAAAATAAATAGAAAAATTAAACACTTCTAAGGTTAATATTAAGGGAAAGAAATTCCAGATTATTTACAGAAAGAAAAGATGTTGTCAAGTTACTTGCCTGATTTACCCCACTTACCTATTTAACTAAATAAACCCAGTTCGACCTTTAAATGACACCTGAAGCTGAATACATGACATAAATGACTAAATATATATGGCTAAATAACTAGTAAAATATTATATACTGTCACCATGGCAAAGATAAAAAAAATAGCTTTTATGAATGTGCTATTAAAAATTATGTTGAAAAATGTGCTAAAAAAATCCAGGAAATAGTTTTAAAAATCAAAAACTTCAGAAGGGCCTCATAATTTTACTACGAGTATATTACTACGAGTGTATAATTACCAGATTTTCAATTCTTTCTGACACCATTGTTTTTGACACCATTGGTCTTGAATTATGTGTAATTTACTCACAACCCAGGCTCATTCTGAAAACTTACCGCTATATACATTTCTGGAAACACCAAATATGTCCCAGGAGCTACGTTTTTGTTCTTGTGAATCCACGAGAGGCTGCTGTGTGCGCTTTTTGAGATCATAAATTTATCTTGCGTGTGCCATTTGTAGCTGCTGTTCTTACATAAATCCACCAGAGGCCGACTGACAGACTGACCGTTGAACTGACCCACCATCCCCCTTCCCTAAACCCAACCGATAGTGTTTTCAAAAGCACCGATTGACCAGAGCCCACCCACTTCCCTGAACACAACCGACAGTTTTAATAACCAATCCAAAAAATTTTAATCCCTTGCATGATTTTTACCACGTCTTCAGATTTTACCACATTCTCACCCTGTTATTTACTTGCTTATTTAATTGTTTGGCTTCTGCTTTTGCTTTCTGGAACCGTTCTTCAATGGATTCAAACCCTGTCGTCATGGTCAACTTCTCTTTGCGTCTCAATTCTGCCGACGTACATGGCGAGCCACTAAACAAACTGGTAACAGTGGGAAAGCCGTCCTTATGGAGGTTAGCGGTCTGCTTGTAAGTGCTAAAAGGAAGGGCCTCATACCGCCCTGTAGCGTTCGTTTTTGACCAAATGCAGTCATACGTACCGCTGGCTACATAATGTGCGATCTCCAGAAATGTATATAGGGCTGCGTTTTCAGAATGAGCCCATGTTGTTTACTCAATGTACTCTCAGAAAAGAACTTAAATAAATCTTTTAATAAGTTGAAACAACACAATTCTTACTGTTTTTTGAGACAACTTAATTATTGTATGGTGAATCCACTTAAATTAGCAAAATCGATTAAGTTATCTGAATCAATTTGTGTTGGGACAACATGCTGGAACCCAGCATTGTTTACAGTATAGTTTGGTAAACAGCAGGCGGTAAACTGATGGCTGGCTGTTTTTTTGGGGGGGGGGGGTTTGTCCTGGAAAAGCTTGTGTTCCTTCATGATGTCTGCTGTTCTCAGAGCAGCTGTTTTCCAACACAAAGCCTCTTTGTTTCTCCATTGAGGAAGCTGATTGAGCTTTAAAAGCGTCCTGGTGGAGCAGTAAAGCAGTGAAGCACAGGTTAATCATCGCTTTTGTTTCTTCACACATGCATTGACACATTTACAGAGCGCCCGTTGATATGCGAACGCTCCTGATGATCACTTCTGCACCGCAGGGATTGGATGGAAATGAGCGTTAATTGAGGAATTGAGTGGATCGTCTGGCCTTTCTGAGGGATTCTGCTGCTGGGAGTTTCCCTGTGTTCCTCCTCAAAGTGTGAGAGCTTCGCAGCCTTTAGACTTTCAGCTTCATGATGATGCAGCAGTGACGTCGACACTTGCTAAATTGGGAAATGTGTATTTTTGGAACGAACCATTCATTTGAGCATTTTCAAACACTCAGATCAACCTTTTTATTCCACCGTTGAAACCAAAACCTGAAAATCCAGTAGATTTAGCGGATATAATTTAGTAAACAGCTTTACCCTTGTGTGCTGTTGGGGATGTTTTCATCCACTTTGGGGTGATTTTTGATTCTTAATTTAGCTCCAGTTTTTCAGCAAATAGAATGATTTTTGGTGGCAAATCTTATTTTGACATATATTTTGGGAAAATGCTTTGAAAATTCTCAAAAATTCAACAATACACATTTAATGCCCTTTTGTTATGTGGGGGCTGTTTTGCCCCATTGACTTCCATTATAATGACCTTTTTTGATTGCAAAGCCATGGCAGCATATAATCATGCATTCTTGATTGTTGCTAGTTTTTCCTTTTTTGAAGAGGTCAAATGTGTCATTTTTACTGTTAATCATTAGTTCCAGTGCAAAAAAAGCGTAGTTTCTGGCTTAAAACTATGGTTATGCTCTCAAAAATTGACGTTTGTTGTTTGTTAAAACTACTTTTTTAAGTGAGCTGACAATTCTTGAGGTTTTTAATGCGACAACTTGAATATTTTATGTTTAATCCACTTAAATTTGTAAAAGTGAATAAGGTAACCCAATTCCTACATGTTGTCCCAACACTAATTCATTGTGTAGAACCCAGCATTTATTCAACATACACTATAAAAAAGCTGTGATGCACACAGTTCCTTTAAGTTCTTCCAACACAAATCAATTAAATTAACTTCATTGGATTCAAGTGGATTGAGCAAAACAATTAAGTGTTTTATGAGTGTAGGCTTATTCTGAATACGTAGTCCTATATATATATTTCTGGAGATCACTAGTTACAGTTGAAACCAGAAGTTTACATACACTGTAGGCACATAACCATTAAAAAATAAAAGTCAGATGTTACTATGACTAAACTGTTTCTCTTTTAGGTAAGTTAGGATTATCACATTTGTTTCTGTTATGCTTAATAGCAGAATAATGAGAGAGATTTTAACTTTTCTTTCAACTCAAGTTTACATACAATAAGATTATTCTGCCTCTGAAAAAGCTCAGATGATGGTTTCAAGGTTTTGGAAGTTTCTGATTGACTAATTGGCAACATTTGAGTTAATTGGAGGCACAACTGTAAAATAGTATTTAAGGAAAACCTCAAACACACTGCTTCCCTGTGTGACAACATGAGAAAATTAACAAGCCAGAATCAACAACAAAGCCAGATTACAGTTTGCTGAATGACACTGGAAAAAAGACTCATTTCTGGAGACATGTCCTGTGCTCTGATGGAGCTAAGATTGAACTGTTGGCTATACTGACCAGTGTTACATTTGGAGGACAAAGGGGAAACCTTACAAGCCTAGGAACACCATCCCAAGTATGAAGTATGGGGGTGGCAGCATCATGTTGTGGGGCTGTTTTGCTGCAGGAGGGACTGGTCCACTTCACAGCATAGATGGCATCATGAAGAAAGAACATTATGTAGAAATACTGAAGCAACATCTCAAGACATTGGCCAGGAAATTAAAACAGCCACAAATGGGTCTTCCAAACAGACCATCACCCTAAGCATACTGCCAAATTAGTTAGAATGTGCTTAAAGGATAACAGAGTGGATGTTTTGGAGTGGCCATCACAAAGCCCTGATGTCAATCCTGTAGAAAATTTGTGGGCAGAGTTGAAAAAGCTTGTGTGAGCAAGACAGCCTACAAATCTGACTCAGTTCCACCAATTTTGTCATGAGGAATGGGCCAAAATTCCTGCAAACTATTATGAGAAGCCTGTGGAAGGATACCCAAAACATTTGACCAAAGTTATAGTTTAAAAGCAAAGCTAAAATAATACCAAGGCAATGTGTGTAAACTTTTGACTGTCTAGAAGTTAATAAATAATAATTACTCCTTATTCTGGCATATAGCAAATGTAAATGATTTAGGTAATCCTAACAGACCTAAAATAGTAAACGTTTAGTATCATTTACCATCAGACATAAAAAAAATGGTTATGTTCTTTTTTTTAGAGTGTATGTAAACTTCTGGTTTCAACTGTATAAACCATAGGCACAAGCTGCAATGACAATCCCTCCTTCTCCTCCTCCG